ACCCCAGTGTGGGTATATTGTCTTAAAACATTCGAATAGTTGTATTCATTATATTACTATGTTACAAATAACTCCTAAATTCCATTTCTGACAAAATTATAAACTTTTCCTCATGAACAAATAATGAGAAAAAATTTTTTTATAACCTATCTACTTAAAATTTTTTAAAAAATTGTGGTAAAATATATATAACATAAAATTTACCATCCTAACCATTTTTAAATGTACAGATCTGTGACAGGAAGTACATTTACATTGTTATGCAACCATCACTACCATCCATCCACAGAAATTTTTCATCTTGCATAACTGAAACTCTGTACCCATCAAATAATAACTCCTCACCACCACCAGCCCCTGGGAACCTCCATTCTACTTTCTGTCTCTATTACTTTAAATACTCCAGGTATAACCTACCTACTTTTATTTGTCCTAAGGAAAAGTGTTAATAGGTGATGACATGACTAGTCAGACATAAGAATGTAGTAAGAAAGAAATAAAGTTTAGATATAGAGAATACATACAGTATTCGCCATCCTATTCTCTTTATTGGCATCTGGCTGATATGGGGAAGCCATCCTATTCTTTTTTTTTTTCCTTTTTGTCTTTTTTCGTGACCGGTAACGGGATCACAACCCTCGGTGTCGCGCCCGCACTGCGCTCAACCAGTGAGCGGACCGGTCTCTATATGGGATCCGAACCCTCGGCGGGAGCGCCGCCGCACTCTACCGAGTGCGCCACTGGGCCGGCCCCATCCTATTCTTGAATAGTGAAAAGAAACACAAGTTAGAAAATATTTTGTGAATATTATATTTTCTTTGCCTTTGGAATTTCTAACTCTCATCTTCACCTGTCAAAATCTTATACATTGTTCAAAGCCAAGCTCAAGTAATTCCTTTCTGACAAGGTAGTCTGGAGCCTCTCAACATCACAGTATCTATTCTTTCTTTGAATTTACATAGCAATTTGTATTTCCTTTAAAGTAGGCTACCCAATTTTGCCTTATAGTATTGTTATTTGTTTACCGTCCTTGATTCTGGTGGAGCAATACCTTTAAAGCAGACTATCTTAATGATCGGATATTCTACAATGTTTAGCACAGCTTCTTGCATACAGTCAGTACACATTTGTTAAACTGAATTGTACTTATTTGAATATTTTCTTCCTTCTAGATGATCACATGGAGGCTTCTAAAGCACTGCTAGAGAATCATGTGGTTTATATAACCATTTGAGTATAAATTAAATAAACTTAATTTATCCATCCAACATATGCTAGCTGATGAGCTAACCAGTACAAGCTGCGACCTGAACTCCATCATAAACTTATAATCTACACTTCATACACTATATACTGGTGCTACACATTCCTATCATGTTCCCTACACTACTTGGAGCCTAGGGCTCTTGTGTTTTAATGCTTACTATTTACTTGGAGAAAAGACTAAGAGTAGGGTTGTCAGTATCCACATTTTAAAGAAGTTATTGAGAAAATAGTGACAATTATATGAATTTTGAGTATAAATGGTATTTTGGAATAGGATGGCAGGAGAAAACTAGCAAAAAGTAGTTGCATGCTGCTCAGAAAGGAAAAAGGAAAGTTGTTCTAAAGAGGATTAGAATAGCTCCAGTTTTTTCGAGGAAGGAGATACGTGAGGGTAGAAAAAAGGGCAAACACGGCTAAAGCTACCTTGAGAGAGAAAGTAGATGATTAATGGGAATGAACTGGGTGTTTCTCAATGAAAAAGACCGAAGTGGTGTTGCCTGTTGCAAAAGTAGAAAAAACCATAGTCTTGAGAGGTGCTGCTTTCATTCTTCCTGTAGTTTAGTTTAACATTAAAGTTCCCCACCCAGTTTAGAGTTTTAACAGCTAAGAAGATAACTAAATTGAAGAGGTAAATAACTGCTTTTTTTCCCCCTCAGCAAATATTTATTGAGTATTTGCTTTGTTCATGTGCTGGGCAAGACAATAGGAATACAGCTTTCGTCTCTAGGCATTTACATTCTGAGGTTTAATTAGTCTTTGCTGGCGCACTACATGCCTGAATATGTGTGATTTCAATGGCCAGAACTTTTCCATAAAATTCACCTTTTGGAGTCATCTTCCTATATAAATATCACATGCACACAGCAAAACATTCGTATAAATAAAAAAAAAAAACCTAAAGGAAAATGTCAAGCTCTTTTTTCTCCTTTCCTTCTACATCAGAGCTCTGCTCCCATCCCATTGCCCAGTTAACAGTAGTTTTGCGTGTGCTCTCCTCATATCTTTTTTTTTTTTTCTCAAAAAGATGACCGGTAAGGGGATCTTAACCCTTGGCTTGGTGTTGTCAGCACCACGCTCAGCCAGTGAGCGAACCGGCCATCCCTATATGGGATCCGAACCCTTGGCCTTGGTGTTGGGACGGGCCGGCCCTCTCCTCATATCTTTGATGAATAGATAAATATGCATCCATCCATGATCAAATTTAATATCAGAGAAAATACCAATGGCAAATAATTTCAGCCAAAGGATCTGGAAGTAAATTAGAAATGTTTTCATTTTAGCTATAACAGCATAAGGTTGTAAAACTATTAGAACTTATTTCAAATATTTTCATCATACATTCCTTATTAACAAGTTCAAAAGAAACACAAGGAAACTATTGTTATGAAAAATGGAAAGTATTCAAAAGAATAACTAAAAATTATTCCTTAAGAGAATCATAGCATATTAGAATAAAGAGTCTAGAACTCATTTCATACAATTTCCCTTCTAATTTTACGGGAAAGAATAGGCTGACAGCATTTAAATGACTTGCCCCAGGTTATCCAGTCAGTTCACATTACAAATTCTGTCTGAGCACATAGTCTTGATTCGACTGGTTTACAGTATTATCTCTCAGTTTTCATCAGGACATCTTGAGCTCATATCTCTTTTGAAAAAAAATTACCTTATGTAAAAAAAATCCCACTTAGTCATAGAATAAAATAGAAAAGACAGACAAACAAAAAGAAAAAAATAAAACTACCCAACTAATACTTTACATATTGAATCTTCTTTTGCTTTTTTGGTAGCTAGCCAGTACAGAGATCGAACCCTGGACCTTGGTGTTATCAGCATGACACTCTAACCAACTGAGCTAACCGGCCAGGCTTAAATCTTCTTAATGTTATCCTGTTACCTCAGTCACGAAGTGTAGGAAATGCAGGAGGTCAGGGTCAGAAGGAGTCAGAAATGTAGGAAGTCAGGGTCAGAAATGCAGATCAGAGTGCTGATAGGCTCTATGTATTTGGCTGAATCCTGTGGTTGTGATCTGACTCTATTTTCCCATTAAAGTCTATGTATTCATTCTGCCTTCTTCCTGTAGATTACAATATAATAGACATAGCAAAATGTCTGCCATAATCTCAGCCGACTTTCCAAGGAAAACTTGCCTAGCCACAGTCCTTCTGAATAAATAGCTTTAGGCAGTTATATTTGGCATCATGTGACCCCCTGCTCACCAGTAAGGGCAGTTATCCTGTAGGCTGGCTAATAACCTTAGTAAGTCTTGCCACAAAAAGGTATCACCCAACGAGGATGAGCTACGCCAGTTAGATTCTCAGTCTTGGAAAATACAGGGAGAACTAGGTTATAAGAGAGTAGATGCGGAAAGTATGCACAGAAACCTGTCTCAAGACAAAGGGCTGTGAGCAAGTTAATGAGGAAGTGGGAACTGTGAGTAAGCAGAAACTAGGACAGAAACAAAGAGAAGCTGATGTCCTACGGAGGAAAAGATCCACGGACTCAGCTGCTGAAATCCCTAGAACTGCCTTGTGTCTGGGCTGGCCAGCTGAGGCTTGTTTTCTCCATTTTGTCAGCTTAGATTCTATTACTGCCACATGTATCCTTACAATAATTAATAATTGCCCCTTATTTGATCAGAATGCAACTTTCTGCCATTTTTTTTTAAAAAGGAGGTTGAATTATATAATCGCTAAGAAATCTCTTTTATTTCATTGATCTTGAGTAGCATTATCTGAGCGTATAATAAAATGGTTTAGATCAGATGTTCTCATACTTGACTGATTATAATAATCACCTAGGGAGTTTAAAAAAATTAAGATTCTGGGGACTCACTGATTCAGAATATCATAGAAAGAACTTTTCCAGTTTTGAGTCTCTATGCTCAGAAGTAAAAATCATGTGTCTTCTGAGAAATGAAAGTTTGGTTGGGAAACCATGTTGAAGTAAAGTGAAATATTTAATAATGTTACTCCTATTTTATTCCTGTTGGTCTTTCTATCCCTATTCTTATTAAATATATAATTTTCAGTATTTCCTAATTTATTTTCTCTACTTCTAATCTAATTTTTTCGTATTTCTTTTTCTTTTACTACTTTTTGTGTATATACTTTTTCTACCCAACAATGTATTTCAGTTTGTTAATGTGATTGGTTTTACATTTTATGAGGGAAATATGCTATTTTACAAATAAGAGGGGGCAGGTGATATTTTTCACTCCTTTTGTTCTTTTTTGGCAACTAGCCAGTACAGGGATCTAGCACTGGACTTTGGTGCGATCAGTTCCATGCTCTAATCAACTGAGCTAACCAGCCAGCCCCAAAATGCCTTTCTGATTTCCCTATAATTAGTCCCTGGAGGGAGAGGGAGGTAAGTGCTAGATTTATGGTGCGATCAGTTCCATGCTCTAATCAACTGAGCTAACCAGCCAGCCCCAAAATGCCTTTCTTATTTCCCTATAATTAGTCCCTGGAGGGAGAGGGAGGTAAGTGCTAGATTTACGCTAGTTTCTGGGCAAGTACAATGTATTAACTAGAAACATAAAATCCAGCTATCATTTGTAAGATAGATAACATACACATTCAGAAAAGGGATAAATACAGATTTTTCAAGGTCCCTTCATAAAACTATAAAAACTAGTTTAAAACCAAAATGTATGAGGTAAAAATGTAAGTAAAATATATTCGGTGAAAATCAACAATACTAAAATTCTAAGTTTTAAAAATTGTACTTACAAATAGTGTTGGTTTGGGTATAAATGTATTGTCTTCATGTTCTCTAGGCACATACAAAGTCTTTGATTTCTGATTTTCTGTCACATTTTTTGATTCCGTTTTAGTAAGAAGCAAGTTGTTTTCAGAATGTTTACTACGCATATTAATGAGAATCTGTTTCATTGCTGCTAATTCCTGTTGATATAGGAAAATAGAAGAAAATGGTCAGTAAGATTTTAGCAAGCAGATTAATGATGATTGATGTTAAAATATTTATTTTTAAGTAGAAGAAACATTTGAAGCAATTATACTACATAAATGAGGGAAGCTCTGAAAATAACAATAACATGATAATCATGCATATGAATCTTATCACCATTGACACTCTTTTAATACGATAACCGATAAGTATAACATTCTATAGTCTAGTGGTTCCCCAATTTTTATGCACATTGGAATCACCTGTGGAGTTTAAAAACTGCCAGTGATGCCTGTGTCCCACTCCCAGAGATTGTTAGAATTGATGTGCAGTGTGGCCTGGGATTTGGAATTTTTTAAAGGTCCCAGGTGATTCTCATGAATGTACAAATTTGGGAACCACTGGTATAGCTACTTTCCACTGTACATGTTCTATACACATTGTCAAGTAGATTATTTAGGCACTTTATCTATCTTATACTTGTTGAATGATCACATTTCCTTATGAAGTCTTATTTTTATTTTTATTTTATTTTTTTAAAGATGACTGGTAAGAGGATCTTAACTCTTGACTTGGTGTTGTGAGCACCATGCTCTCCCCACTGAGCTAACTGGTCATCCCTGAATAGGGATCTGAACCCGTGGCCTTGGTGTTATCAGCACCACACTCTCCCAAGTGAGCCACAGACTGGCCCTATTTTTTTTTAATTTTTAAAAAGGTGACTGGTAAGGGGATCTTAACCCTTGACTTGGTGTTGTCAGCACCACACTTTCCCAAGTGAGCCACGGGCTGGACCTCCTTATGAAGTCTTATATGATGTTAGAGGGAAACAATTCAAATCTTTTTTCTGGCTACTAATCAGCAGTTCAAAAGTAACTTTAATATAGTTTCAGGATTTCTTTAGCCACATTATCCCTTTATCCTTTTACAAATGATATGTGAAGTTGGCTTTGTCTTTTGAACTAAGAATTAATTAAGCTGAATGTTTTGAAGAACTCAGATAAAAATTTTCACCTGTTCCTTCTTCTAAGTCCACTTTGTCTATTATTTTTCCCATAGACAGACCTTAAGCATCTAACACTAATTAGTGGATATTTATGATTAATTACTAAACGGATTCATCAAGCACAGTATATGAAGAGATGGCAGACTAAACTCTATTTACCTTATTTACCTGTAGAATAGTGGTAGGCTGTGTAATAGCTATTTTTTTTCCTATTATTTTATTTCATCTCCTTACCAAAACACAAAAGTTATGGCGATAGAAAGATGTTTTGCTGCCTTCTACTAATCTGTTTATAGACATCAGCTCCTTGTCAGAGCAAGTTTCTACAGGCCTTTCTTTTCTGGCTGTCATTAGTTCTATTTAGAACCATGTAGCTTGAGTGGGTATTTTAAAACAGAGCTGCTGAGTTTAAGCCACATAGCTTTAATAGATTTTAGGGCCAGGAGAGAAGCTGGAAGAAACAGTGCCAGAATCCTTTTTCCTTTCTGCAATACTCGGGCTGGCTTGAGCAATGCACCTGAGAATGTGTACACCTTCACACACTGCCCATGTGATACAGTATTATTTGAACCTTTTGGGGCTCTTTTTAGTTTCAAGATTATGTTCTTTCACTTATATGCTTCCCTACAGTGAAGTATACAATCACTGATTTAATGTTAAACATGTCTATTGTTATGGTAGATTTCAGCTCCCATTCTACTTACCAAGATAAGTAGAAGGGAAAGGGGAAATGATGGTCTCCTAGCCTATCAAAAGAACAACTTTCCATCTGAAAGCACATCTTTTTTACTAGCCATAACTTTTGTGCCTTAGCATGAAGATAAAATAAATTTATAGGAAAAAATTACCTCTAATACAACCTACCACTATTCTATAGATAAGTAAGGTAAAGGAAAGTTTAGTCTATCATACTTGCTGGGGGAGAGGGGGAAGAAGAGAAACAGGAATGAGGAGGGAGAAAAGGAAGGAGCTGAGAGTGTGGTAGGTAGAGGGCTTTGGACCCCCAGTGGCTCTAGAAGGAGGCCATAATTTTGTTTCTCTTTGGCTTCCCTCTGTGGCTGGTATGGGAGCAGTTACCAGAAACAAATCAGCCCTGATGTTGGTCAAAAGATTAGAAGGGAAATTCCCATCTCTGCCTTGCCCAAATTTGGATCACCCCAATTTGGGGTGCAGTACTTTTGTTCACCTGACAGCGTAAACAATAGGAGCATGGATTCTGAAATCCGGGTAAAGAACACTTTAAAAATCAACATAATTCTGTAAAATTCTTATTAGGTTAATACAGCTACAGTAGACACCGAAATAACATTTAGAACACATTTTTTTCAATTTTATTATGTTTGGCTTATATAAGTATCCTTTTTATATGAAGGTAAATTTGTTTTTATTTATTTTATCTATTTTATTTTTTTAAATTTTATTTTGTCGATACACAATGTGGTTGATTATTGTGGCCCATTACCGAAAACTCCCTCCCTCCTCCCTCTCCTCCCTCCCACCCAACAATGTCCTTTCTGTTTGCTTGTCATATCAACTTCAAGGAACTGTAGTTGTTATGTCTTATATGAAGGTAAATTTGAACAAAGAAAATTCCACTTTAACATCAAATAATATCCACAATACCCTCATATACTGAGCATATGGAGAGTCAAACACATGTAGGGGAAATATTTTAGTTTTAGGCTAAAAATCAAAGACACATCTGTTTTTTTTTTGGCTGCTGGCTGGTACAGGGATCCAAACCCTTGACCGTGGTGTTATAACACCATGCTCTAAGCAACTGAGCTAACTGGCCAGCCCAATATTCTTGATGCTATACTTAACTGTGTAAACTTTAGGTAGCTTCTCTGGTTCAATGAGCTTCAGTTTCCTGATTGATAAAATGCATGCTTCTGTCTCCTTTCTGGATTTTTGCCAGTGTAATAAGTGTTTGGGTACGTTTATTTTGCATTTCTTCTATTGTGAGATTGAGTAGTTTTTCATATATTTAAGGGTATTTCCTTTCTGTTGCTACACTTGGCCTATTTTTCTACTGGGTCAGTGGTCATTTTCTTACACATTTTGAGGGTTTTTTTACATGTTATGGAAATCAGCCCTTTGTCTTTAATAGGAATGGCAATGTTTTTCCAGTTTATTTATCTTTTATTTGACTTTTTTTTTAAAAAACATGACCGGTAAGGGGATCTAAACACCTTGACTTGGTGTTGTCAGCACCACCCTCTCCCAAGTGAGCCACCGGCCATCCCTTTATTTGACTTTTTTCACTTTTTTTTTTTTAGCTATGCGGATCTTCTGATTGTGATGTAATTGAATATGTTAATTTTTTCTTTTATGGCCTTCTCCATGTTTTCTTCCTACATTTTCCTTAAGTTACTCTTATGATTTCTTTTCTTTTTCAAACATTTAGAACTTTGATCTGTTTGAAGTTTATCCTGGCTTATGGTGAAAGGCATGGATCCAACATCTTTTGCTTCAAGATGGCTGTCCTATAACAACAATTTCATGTACTGAAGAAACCATTTTTTCCCCTGCTGCTGCTATCTTTATCATGTACTAAACTTCCATAAGAATATGATTTATTTTAGGACTTTAAACTCTGCTCCAACAATCTGTCTATTCATGTGCCCAAGTCACACTGTTTTAGTGTTTAATGATTTTGGTATTTTTCTGGCTATATTCTTGAAGATAGGAGTGGGATTATGCTGAATTAAAAAAAATTAGGAAGAACTGAGTTCTTCATAATGTTGAGTCTTACTAACCATGAAAGTATTTTAATATATTTTTCACGTATATCTTTGGCTTAAATTGTCCTACTCTAATTGATGTTACTATTTCAATAAAATGATCATAATTCACAAGATCCTAACTCACAAACTGAGAAAACAAACAATAAATAAACCAATGTAACATGTAAAACTTAGAAAACATTTATTTGTCACTACAAAATGAAGTCCTTTGGTAAGAAGACACCATCTTGAAATTTTCTGGTTTGTTCCTAACCCCGTTTGGTTGTTTTCCTGTTTCTGGCTCCTACTTGCTGGTTCCATTTCCTTTTTTTTTTTTTAAAAGATAACCGGTAAGGGGATCTCAACCCTTGGCTTGGTGTTGTCAGCACCACGCTCAGCCAGTGAGCAAACTGGCCATCCCTATATAGGATCCGAACCTGTGGCCTTGGTGTTATCAGCATCGCACTCTACCGAGTGAGCCACGGGCTCGTATAACTTCGTATAATGGATGCTATACGAAGTTATTACGTGGTCATCCCTGAATAGGGATCTGAACCCGTGGCCTTGGTGTTATCAGCATCGCACTCTACCGAGTGAGCCACGGGCTCGTATAACTTCGTATAATGGATGCTATACGAAGTTATTACGTGGTCATCCCTGAATAGGGATCTGAACCCGTGGCCTTGGTGTTATCAGCATCGCACTCTACCGAGTGAGCCACGGGCTCGTATAACTTCGTATAATGGATGCTATACGAAGTTATTACGTGGTCATCCCTGAATAGGGATCTGAACCCGTGGCCTTGGTGTTATCAGCATCGCACTCTACCGAGTGAGCCACGGGCTCGTATAACTTCGTATAATGGATGCTATACGAAGTTATTACGTGGTCATCCCTGAATAGGGATCTGAACCCGTGGCCTTGGTGTTATCAGCATCGCACTCTACCGAGTGAGCCACGGGCTCGTATAACTTCGTATAATGGATGCTATACGAAGTTATTACGTGGTCATCCCTGAATAGGGATCTGAACCCGTGGCCTTGGTGTTATCAGCATCGCACTCTACCGAGTGAGCCACGGGCTCGTATAACTTCGTATAATGGATGCTATACGAAGTTATTACGTGGTCATCCCTGAATAGGGATCTGAACCCGTGGCCTTGGTGTTATCAGCATCGCACTCTACCGAGTGAGCCACGGGCTCGTATAACTTCGTATAATGGATGCTATACGAAGTTATTACGTGGTCATCCCTGAATAGGGAT